CCCACTATCCCCATTTCTATTCAATTTCATCATATATGTACTAATGGAATAAAACCTAACTTATTTATTTATTATTATTTATCTAAACGCATAAAAAACTTGGTACAATATGGCACCAAGAAGGATGCGCCACACAATAATAATAAAACATCATAGATCAAAAAGCAAAAAAATAAAAAGAACAGAAAAAAATATAAGTAGAGAATGGATAAAGAACTTTATCCGGAAGGAAAACAGTCATGCTTAACAAGTTCAAACAGTATTCGTTAACTATCATCGGGTAGGGAAGAAAGAAGGAAATTGCAACACATTCGCCATTGATTACGATTATTGGCCATATCCGATAACGTTTCGAGCCATCGATTCGATCTATCTCGTTGACCCCAACCAGGGAGTCGTGACACACCAACCGATGCTAATCTAGCACAAAAATCCTTCATCCCACGATGCTACGTCATGGACTGACCACCCGTTCCGCTTTTCCATCCCGTCCCAGGGCTGGCTAACGAAAAGAGACCTGTACGGAAGCCTCTGGGATGACATTCGTAGCACATGTCCAAGCCACCGGAACTGGTGTTTCGAGATGACGACAACACTCAATGAATGGTGATCTCCACTGTGTTCAAACACACGCCAACAAACCTCAGAATTACTCACGCGGTGATGCCATCGAACGCAAGCAATCCTGCGGAGACAGCGATGGTCGAACACGCAGAGTCGCCGCACATCCTCACCCTTCAGGAGAGGCCAGGTTGCACAGGCGTAGAGCAAGACAGCCCGCACCGAAGCATTTTATACCCGACCTTTGACAGCCAGGCTAACATCGCGACGGCGCCACAGGTGGCTCAAGCTAACGTATGCTATGGTTGGAAATCTCATCCGTCATCCCTCCACCAGCACTCACACAACTACCCAAGTACACAAACTTATCAACAACTTCAAGCGGTTCACCCACAAGAGTGAGTGCCGGTACAGGCTCCTGCCAATCTTGTAACAGTACTTTGCACTTAGACGGCACAAAGCACATACCATACTTACAGACACTGATCGCCAACTGATTAAGTGCGATTTGGACAGCCTGCATTCTATCGCACAGTAAGACGATATGGTCTTCATACTCGAGGTCGAAAAGTCTATCTCCAGGTAGCAGATCTACACCGCCTTCACGTACATCCTTCAGAGCTGACTCCAGAATGTCATCGATGGCAAAGTTAAAGAGGAATGGAGAGATTGGGCAACCCTGTCTAACCCCACTGTTGGTTGGGAACAGTGATGACAGTTGGTTGTATGCCCTCACTTTACCCGAGGTGTTTCTCTATAGGGCTTTCAACATGTTAACTAATTTCTCAGGTACACCTTTCTCTAACAGACAGTTCCAGAGCACAGTTCTGTCCAACGAATCGAAGGCATCCCTAATATCAAGAAACCCAACGATCGTTGGCCTGCAATACGTGTGGCGGTGTTCCAACAACTAACGAAGGGTGAACACATGATCAATGCATCCACGACCTGAACGAAACCCAGCCTGCTCTTCGCGAATCAATCCTTCACATATTTTGCACAGCCCGCGAAGCAAGACAGCAGCCAGTATTTTAGACGCGACTGGTAGCAGACTGGTACCTGACTGACTTCAGCGACTCAAGGATTGACTTGTTACGAACTAATAACCTCGTTGACTTAGAATATGCAGATGATATAGTCCTCTCTGTCAGGTGCGGAAGACGCTGACAAAATGCAGAGTCTTCTGATTACATGGAATGTGGTGACTTGAACTGCTGCACATCGGTGCAAAGTTCTATGTTGAAAACAGACAGACATCATTAAATTATTTCATCTCCCGCGCCCCGGTTTTATTATAACTGTGATTAATAGATATTCGTGTCACTCCCGACCGAAAGCCGCTACCTTGACGTGGTGGTCGGGCTCAAACACCGCAATGACCTACTCAAGCTATACTGGCTGAGACTTATGTCTCTTGAGGTCCTACCATGCCAGAAAGGTTGTTTGGATAGCGGTTAAACAAAAAGCAGCTACCCAATCCAACATAATGATACACAGAAAACCACAAAATTTCATGCCGGATCGGCCGGGGCCCGGATTAACAACGACCGCGCTTCCTGCTGCCGTGTCACAGGTCAGGAGTGATAAATATGCTACTGAGACACACCAAACAATATAGAACAAACTAAAACAGGCCGCGTGTGACCGGACCGAGGCAGTTGTCCCCTGGGCTCTGCGGTCACGCAACCAACTTCCACGGTGTGGGCAGCCGGGAAGTAACAATCGCCCTCACAATCCGAAATGCACACGAAACTTCTCTAATCCTCACTCATCTTTGTCTTCATCTTCATCTCTATCATCTTGCCTTCCTTCCACTGATGCAACTCCTCGGCTTGATAGTTCTTCACTTCCTCTTCACTGTGTGTCCACTAAAAACGATGGAAGCCAGAAAACCACCACCGACAGCCTCCTAAAGCCACACCACCAACTTCATATAGGAGCTTTTAATGTTAGGACACTTTGCCAAATAGGACAACAAGCATCACTAGCCAAGACCCTGACATCCCGAGCCACTGATGTATGCTGTGCTTCAGAAACACGCATACAATACCCAAGTGTGGTCATTCACCTAACCCCACCTGACCAACAGGATGAATCTTCAAAATTCACCTTGAGAGTGTCAGGAGATGCCACAGCTAGTTCACGAGGATTAGCTGGTGTAGGGATAGCTTTGAGTACTAGGGAAGAAAAGACATTACTTGACTGGATCCCGGTAGATAGCCGAATGTGTGCTGTCCGTCTGAACGGGTCAGTGAAACGGAGAAAGGACTGCACTACTCGCCGATGCCTTTTCGTAATCTCCGCCTACGCCCCCATTGACTGCAGTTCGGATGAAACGAAGGATGAGTTCTACCAAAAGCTGTCTAGTTTGGTGAGAAAGGCTAAACGCTCAGATATAGTCGTTCTAGCTGGTGACTTTAATGCTCAAGTAGGGAAATTGTGTCAATCTGAGAAGGATGTCGGTGGCACCTATGGAGTTCCGTGCCAGCGAACCGACAACGGTGACCGTCTCCTACAGTTCTGTGCAGATAATCATTTGTTTCTTGTAAGCACTAACTTCAAACACAAGGAGAGACACTGTTTGACTTGGAGACCCCCTTCATCAAACCAACGCTGGACACAAATAGACCACATAGCAATAAGCTATCGTTGGCGTGGGTCGGTAGGAGATTGTCGCTCCTTCTGGAACACGTGTGTAGATACCGATCACGCACTGGTCCGCGCTAGTGTGTGCTTACGACTGAACGGACGTAGGAAACAGCTAGCGGTAAACCCATCACGTCCTCAGCTCAATCAAGAACAGTGTTGGGTGACAAAGGCGAAAGAGATGGAAAAAGCATCGGCGATAAGCAACACTAGGCAACTCTTTAGACTCATCAGGCAAACGGGTGGCAGAAGGCAAATCAAAATGTAAGATGCTGCTACAGAACTGGATTACGTCAACTCCTAGCTTAGTGATGGGGAGTGAAGTGATAGAACATGTTGACCACTTCACCTATTTGGGAAGTTGTATTAGCACCAACGGACTGATTGGCGACGAAATCTCAGCACGGATCCAAAGAGCTCGAGCTGCTTTCGCTGACTTACACCATCTCTGGCGTAGGCGTGACATCCGGCTATCAACCAACGGACGTGTGTACTGCTCAGCAGTTCGCTCCGTCCTTGTCTATGGCTCTGAAACATGGCCAATACGCGTTGAAGACATGAAAAGGTTGACTGCTGTCGATCATAGATGTCTGCGATCTCTGCCTCACTTTAAGTGGTATAATAAGGTAAGTAATGTTGACGTTAGGCGTAGAGTGTTGGGCAAAGAGGGAAAATCAATCGACGAGGCTATAAAGTTACATAGATTGAGATGGGTAGGTCACGTGCTGCGCATGCCTGCCTAACCATCGCCTCCCCCGACGGGCATTACTAGCTGATATAGGTGCAGGTCGGAAAAGAGTAAGTGGTGGCCAAACAAAAACATGGCCTCATCAATCCATGACAGTTAAACTGAGTCAGGTAGGGAGATGCAGACTCCCGGGTTGGGGCCCTCGGGACTCTAGGAATCAATGGCAATGACTGGAGACAATAGGTGACATGGCTCAAAATCGTTGTCAATGGCCAGCGCAGATGTATTCAGTCTCTGTAATCTTTCATATTCCTCTCTACCATTGCCCATTCTGTTTCACTCTTATACTTGTAAAACTCTATTGATTCTCTTCACTCATCTTCTTGTCTACCTTTGTGTGCTATGTGGAACGTGGCAACTCGAACTGGTGCACTTCTGTGTCAAGTTCTATGTTGAATCCAGACAGACAGATTGTTGTTACTATTTCTACTTAATTTTAAATTCATACCCTTATCAGTGTAAATGACCTGTTAATTTTTTCCTCGGATTGATATCAGTTAGAGAACCATCGGAAACCAGAGAGTACTGAACAGTTGTTTCGTCCTACTTCCGGACTCAGTGGTAGTACGCACCCCTCTGGAGGGTTCGAACGTAAGACTTTCCGGTTGCTAGACAGGCTGGTGGACCATCGTGCCACTGCGTCCTGACTCACTTCCCCATGAATTCTAACTTCTACCATTTCGTGATTTTAGAGCCAGTAGCACTAGTTAATATCATCCGTGGCAAGTGTTTGTCCTCATTCCCGATCGTGTAGACATCGGGTTCGAACCCCTGTGGTGGGTAGGTGCGTACTGCCAATGAGTCGTGCACTAGGATGAAACAGCTGTCCAGTACTGTACCCCAGTTTTCAGTGGTTCTCTCACTGAAATCAACCAGATCCCGACAAACACTAACTCCTGAAAATTATTCCTCTTCTCCTATGTAACGGTAAAGTAAATTAGATTCAATATTGTATTTTACACTGAAAATTCTACACTGTATCAAACGGACTGTTTCGAATAATGCCACTATTATTATTTTTATTATTATTAATGTGATATTTCAGCTATTTGTGGTGTACCGATTAGTTTGTTTGGCGTCTATATGAACGATGCAGCCAAGGTGAAAAGCCTTGGTTTCTTTCATGGTTATACGCCTATAGTATGGATTGTTATCATACTTCAAGCATTTGGTGGATTGGCGATAGCATTTGTAATGAAATATGCTGACAATATTTTGAAAAGTTTTTCTATGGGTTTATCTGTGATTCTATCGACGCTTATTTCCTACTTTGTATTCGATGACCTCACTCCGAACATGTAAGTTGAAAATTGGGCCTATTTTGTAATCTGCTGTATTTAACTTTAATGCAGATAAGCCTAACTCACGTAAGACACAATTAGAAAATATGGGACTTATAGCTTAGAATGAATATATGAATTTGCTTTGATGTTCTTTGAGACTTGCTGCATTGATTTTGAAAGCTTCATCACTACGACCAATGGCATCTTCAGAGTAGAATGTCAAACAAATAACGTAATGCCTATTCACTGTAGATACCAGCGCTAAGTGAGAGACACTATATGGCATATCCAAGGAGACCTGTGTTGATGGACATTGGAACTCTCTGAATGTGATGGTCAAGGAAACGTGTACAACTGTTCTAAGAAGAAAGAAGAGATAAGACAAGGAATGTGACCCTTAACGGACATCTACGTGGAAGCTAATAGAAGAGAGGATGGTGAAACAGGAGATGACTCAATGCAAAGATGGATAACAGAAAGAGAAACTAAGTTGACAGTAATGAACAAAAAAGTGACGAAGAGTGCCAGGAAAGACAAAAGACAATTCTACGAAACACTGGCCGGCAACTGAAACAGAACAGGCAGGTAGGTCGCAGGTAAGAGACCTCAGAACATTATATCAGATAACCAGGCTGGTCGCTATCCGGGAAGAGATCAACGTAGGTGAAACCCATAAAAGATGGTCAAGGGAACCTAATCACCAAGGAGGAGGAACAAATAAAACAATGGGTTGATCACTGCAAAGGACTCTGGAATCAACCATCACCTGCAACTCGTCCAGAAATACTATGAACAGCTCGCATGGAATTGCCTGCCAGAAGACACCAATCCTTCAACTAAATCCGATCAAGCCACTGAACGTTAGCCGGAAGGGCAACAGGATCAGACGGAAGTCCTCACCAACCCGAAGCACTGAAAACAGACCCCCAGAGACTGCAGCTCACGCCATTGTTACGTAAGGTTTTGGGAGAAAGAAAGGCGCCCACCTGTTGGAAGAAGGGCTGCTTAGTCAAACTGCCAAAGAAGGGCAACCTAGGCCTGTACAAGAACTGGCGTGGAATAATGCTGTCGTCTGCGACAAGTAAAATGCTAAGTCGCATCATCCTAGAGAGAATAAGGGATGCACTGGATACAGAAATCTGCCCCACTGGAACAAGCTGGCTGGATTTAGGAAAGGCGAATCATGTGCTGATCAAATCGCAGCTCTACACATCGTCATCACAGAACAAAACATAGAATGGCAGTCGAACCTCACTCTACCTCAAATCCACCGACTTCGAAAAGGTCTTCACCAGACAGCCTTGACCGAGACGTAATTTGCAAACTACTTCAACACTATGGCGTGCAGTACTCAAGTCTTCATCAACCTCATTCAACAGCTGGCTGGCTATATGACATTGTCATTTGTTAGGTGATCCACAAAGAAAAACTCAGCAAGCAGTTGAAGTGAATACGGGAGTAAGACAAGCTGGTTGTCTATTATCACCGATGATATTCGTAATTGTGGTAGACTGGAGCACCTAGAAAACGTTGGGTAGCAAGAAGAGAGAAGGACGTTGCACTGACTCATAAGAAGACTTTAGTATACTTGAACTTCGCTGACGACTTATGTTTAGTGGAACACAAACTCGAAGACATATAGGCAAAACTAACAAACACAATTGTGTGTGTGTATGTCATGAAACCAGGTTGAATATGCTGTCAACCAATGTTCTCAAGAACCAGTGTAATATAATTGGACGATAATGCTGTTCAATTGCCATCAGCTTGAAAAATTTACTACGAAAAAATAGGTTAGCGGATAAAAAACACTTGATAATATTAAGGTTGCATGAAGCTTATACACTATGGATTGATTAACATTACTAGTTAGATATCACTGAGGCCAGATCAACGACAGTCGCTTGCTAGTCACAGACCGAAGTGGTCTAAACATCGAACAGCCGTTTCACAGGTTTCTGCCTAAGCTCGTCAGAAGTCGTCTACGCGACTTAAATCAGCTCTGAGAGCCGAATCAATGGAAACCACCAAATTTCTGGCTAGGTACATTGTACTACATCTAATCGAATTCACAGTTTGAGGTGATATGTCACCAGATAACAATGCATTAATCGCCATAATCGAATTGTACTCCATCACCACAATGCCCAAGTTCTACTCTTATACCATTAATACCCCCTTGTTAGTAGTGTTAGCATTAAGCAGTGATTCTAACTATGCTAACTTATGTATAAAAATGCAAGTGTGGTGAGAGATGGCTGTTAGTCAAAGTTGGTGGACATTAATTCATGTCAATGTGTACGTCCCCAATATTGATCGTGAGAAAAATGAGAACAAAGACTTTGCGTAGATGGATACAGTTAATATATATAGATCTGACATATATGATCTGACACTCAAGAAACAGCCACAAAGAGATGAAAGATTAACTTTCAATGAGAAACAATCACCAATCAGAGGACTGTATTTTTCTGCTAACAATAATCTATGATATGTACACGAAAATCTATAAATATGTGTTGATTCTCCTTAATAAACGATCTGTTGCCTGGCCCTTGTCTTCTGATGTTACACAAGTACACATCCTTTGAGGAGGAAATCACCGTAAAGATATCTGTCCCCACACGTGACCGACATGGGACACAGCCGAGGGTGGGTAGACTTGTTGTCGTCCTCTCGAAACACGTTCATGGCATCTGCCTGGAAAGTCCTATTCACCACCGCCCCCCCATGGGGTGCGGGTGTTCCTCACGAAACCCTGATTCCAAAACTTAGGTGCACACACGCTAAAGAATTTGAAAGGATGACACTATTTCGTGGTCACCGGTAACTCTGCTCCACTGCCTTGTGGACCAAACTTCAAGTCAAGGAGAAGGCGTAACCCCATAAGATGACGACCACCACGGTTCGTGCATCTGGAAAAGCATCACAGCCTTCGAATCGCTCAGATAATGTAATAGGTTTGTGGTTTAATAAGTAATAAATCTCTCTAAGTTCCGATGGCTATTTTCCACGATTTGAACGCACTCTTTGTTATGCATCATAAGGAGCATATATCCACATGTTGTTATCACTGTTATTATTATAATTATTTGAATTTTCAATCAGATATTTATTCCTCGGATCCACGCTAGTCATCAGTGCCACTGTGCTTTATGGTCTTCCAGCCAATTATTGTAGTTCAACTGCTGCCTCTACTACAAGCTCAGATGTAAATAAGGTGACAATTTAACCGGTTGGATTGGAGATTACGAGAAACAGAATAAAGAATAGAAAACTTAGTCCTTATTATTAATAACTGTAAAAAAATTATAGAACCTTCTCAAATCTGTATATTTTTTTCCTCTTTTTTACAGTGAATAAAAATAACCTTTTGTTAGACAAAAATTGAGAAAAACTAACAAACATTTTCTGTTATTTTATTATGGTACTGTACATGTATACTGATCAGATTCGGCGTATCGACCGACACAACTAGACGACTGTTCAGTAGTATCTTGTGTCTTCGGGCCAACCACCTCTATATGAATATTATCCTTACGAATTACTGAGGCTACAGGTGTAGAGAAGTCTTCAGCAGCTTTTAAAGCCGACTGTTCCGCACATTCTGGCGACTGACCATTGTCCAGCTCACTAAAATAGGTTAAAGCAAATGCCAGTCTATCATGTATAATATTATGACAAGGATCTAAGTCAGCCAGTTCATTGCCAAACTCTGCACCCAATAGATCAACAACTGAGGATGGATACGAAAGATTGTCAAATTTGATTTTGTCTGTTGTTGTTGTTGACTGCGATGGTGGTGGCGGTCCATGGTATCGAGGAGAATGTTGTGCCAGACTTAGTCCACATAATGCATAACATGTGTGATAAGGATCAGGATTTTTCCCAGGCTTGTCAATTAGTCCACCACCGTCAAAAATAGGCATGTTCTGTTCCGGACTTGAGCTTCTATTCACAGATGATGCTTCACTTGAAGAGTCGTCTTTATTATGCACACTCAAGCCTGGACGTGTATAAGATACTTTCTGACAACATAGTAGTATATATTCCTAAATAAAAGAGAGGAAAAGAACAACAAAGTTATCACCATCGTCGTTGATACACTAAATTAATATGAATAGTTTAAAATAATCAAAGTGTCAGTATTTTCATTCATAATTACTGATGATTTCTGGTTAAGAAAGACACGGGTTATTAGATGTTTGGAGGCAATCGGCAGGAAGCCTTGGACGTGGGTTTGGGGCTAGTTGGCACTCACCAGTCAATCAGCAAGATGTGTCTGCAACCTTGAAGGAAATTCGAATACGTGTCACCCAGTGCTACAGTACAAACAGCCCCAACAGGTTGATCTCTGACGAAATCTCAATACGGATACAGAGGGCTAGTTTCGCATATGCAAGTTTACGCCGTCTCTGGCTTAGATGTGATATCCGACTATCGACCAAAGGGCGTGTGTACTCCTCAGAAGTCCGCTCCGTCCTCCTTTATGGCTGTGAGACCTGGCCATTGAGAGTAGAAGACATGAAAGGATTAGCTGGCTTTGATCATAGGTGCCTGCGTGTGTGATGTGAGGAATATTGAGGATAGGCCTCAGTCGAGTGCTAAGTAAGGAGGGGAAATCAATCGACGAGGTTGTGAAATTACATCGACTAAGATGGTTAGGACATGTGTCACGTGTGCTTAGTAATCGCCTTCCACGAAGAGCAATGTTAGCAGTTGTAGGGTCAGGCTGGAAAAAAGCTAGCCAGTGGCGGTCAAACCAAAACATGGCACCAGTCAATGAAATCTACAACAGTTAGTCTAAGCCAGCCACGTAGGAAGGTGTAGACTTCGTTACTGGTTGGGGTCCTCGGGAGGGTAAAAACCAATGGTTGGAAACAATTGGTGACATGGCTCAAAATCGTTCTCAGTGGCGCAGATGCATCCATTCCTTGTAACTTATGTTTTCCAATGAAACTGTTTTGTTCTTCGTCATTACTATTCCTTTGTCTCACACCTCTGTTTACTGTTTCTATTATGCATTTCTACTCTTGTGTTGTGTGCTACAAGGAGGAAGTGTGGCGACTTGAACTTCCGCACATATGTGTAAAGTTCTATGTCGAAAACAGACAGTGCTACAGTCGGATGGACTACTGAGCTGTCGGGATTCGCTATTGACCACCTGTAGGACTGTATTGGATCTCAGAAGGGACATGACTTTCTTCAAGGTTGCAGATACACGATAGCAGTCTTGTGATAGTACCATCATTCTTAATTGTATCTTACATATAATATCAAGTATGCCCATTCTCAAAACCATAATTGACTGAGTTTCAACAGAGAACTTTGCAAAGAAGTGCAGCTGCTCAAGTTGCCCCACTCCATGTATTATTATTTATTATTGTTCGCTTGGGTTCCTAGTGGAACATAGGGATTCAACTGCACGTCTCCACTTGCTTCTGTCTTCTGCTGTACTTTTCACCTGCACCCATGTTAGTCCATACTCTTTCAACTCCTTCTCTTCACACGATCTCCTCCATGTCACCCTTCCACTGACGTCCCACTCGCCGTTTCCCTTTCAGGTTCCACTTCACCAATGGCCTGACACGCGCGCGATGTCACCCAGTGGCCTCCTCAACGAGCGAGTGTCCAATCCATCTCCACTTTCTCCTCCATATTTGTTGGTTGGCGATTGCTTTTTTCTTGTTTTGTTTGTTTGTTCCCATAGTTTCTTGTTGGTGATTCTTTCTGGCCCAGCCATCTTCAGTATAGAGCCAGCGAAGACAGTTGTTGATAAAGGTCTGCAACAGGCTGTTGGAAATATTCATTGTGACCCGCCCGCCAAGTTTCTGATCTGTATAGAAGAACTGACTGACTTGACGTTGTTTGTATTGAAAATCCGAGTGAATTTTGTTGTTGATGGTGAGTGACGAAGATTTCCAGATTGGTTTCAGGTTGATGAGTGATGTGTTTCTCGCCTTCCCGTTTCTCTCTCGATTTGACATCCTCGTCCGTTCCTACTGCCTGTAGTTGAGACAATGCTCCCTAGATAAGTGAATGAAGTAACCTCTTTCAAATCCCTCCCATGTAGCAGCACACAAATGTAGACAAAGAGATTGATATGAACTATAATAAATAAATGTGGAAGGGGAGTGGAGGAGAAAGAATATTAGCATGGAAAAACATAAGAGTGTATTGGATATGCAAAATCATAAAGAGTGAATGCATCTGCGCCACTAGCAGCGATTTAAAGGAATATCACCAATGGTCTCCAGGATGCGGTTCTTAACGTCCCGAGGACCACAAGCTGATGTCATACACCCGAATAAGTGAGTCAAACTAATTGCCAGGTTTTAGTTTGGCCACCCACAACTCTATATCAGCTGGCATTGCTCCTCGAAGAAGGCAGTGGCTTGGTTTGCGCGCAACACTTGCCTTACCAATCTCAATCGATGTAGCTTCATATTCTCATTGATTGATTCAGTCTCCTTTAAAACAGTAGTCAGACTGCATTATAGGCTGTATAATAAGTGTAATATCTTCCTAGAGTGATGCTTCTGTTTATTGACCATATGACAAATGTGTACTCAAGTGTTTTTGAAAAAGTTGTACATGAGACTATGGTTTCATCAGGCACTTATATGTAAATGTAGGCATAATAATTCACAAAGAGTTTATATATATATATATATATATATATATATATATATATATATATATATATGAGGTGTGCTAATAATAAGATTTGATTTGGAGTACTCCTTGTACGAGATGGCGGTGTGAGCCAACGTCTGCTTCTCTTCCTGTGTTGTCTGGTCTCAGTTTGGCGACCATGTCGCCCATTGAAATTTTAATGTCGCCGACTGGAGTATTATTCATTGCTGTCTGTAGGACTCTTCTTTCTTTTCGAGGTCTGCGTTGTTTGTGGCTGCATAGCATTGTATAATTGTCACTCTCCTTTCTTTGAGTTGAATCTGGTGGTCATTATCCTGAGCGAGATCGCCTCCCATTGTATCAGGGCCTTCGTTGCCGTTGGTGACATGCTGATAGCGACAGCCTCAATGTTCATGTGGTTGTCTTCTGGGTGATCGGAGTAGATCACTGACTCTCTTATTGACAATTTTGTGAGTCCACTCCGATTCCGTCTGCTTTCACATAGTCCAAGTACTTGAATACCATATCTTATCACCTCATTTGCATCTGGGGGCAGCTTTGCCAGTCTCATACACGGTGCGGACGTTCCATGCCCCCCTCTCTATATTACATAATAGTTAAAGGTCAAACGTGATCTTTTACTGAGAAAATCAGCTGTGTTTTTGAAAAAGTTGTACATGAAACAATGGTTTCATTAGGCACTTATATGTAAATGTAGGCATAATAATTAACAAATAGTTTATATATATATATATATATATATATATATATATATATATATATATATATAAACTAATGATAAGATCGATCAAATATCGAAGAGATGGATTTGACGTCAAAGACAACAAATGATTCAAAGTTGTGACAAAACATGGGAGATACGAAAAGAAGACAAAGGAACACAATACAAGGGAGGAGAAGTAGCACAACATGGAAGATCAGTACAAATGACGATTCGGAGATAAGATATACATAATTTCGCTACACACAGATAACAAATTCCAAATAAACATCCCTTCGCCAAATCTTTTGTCTCCTACCGTTACATGTATGCTATTAGAAATACATAGGGGGAGATATCTGGCTGACAAGTCAATAAACTACATTGAATTAATCATGCGAAACCATCGGTGCAAATGTTTTCCCAGTCATGTTCAATTAGATAAGGGGGAAGGTATGTGAGAGATTATAACTAAGATAATAAATGCATTAAGGTTCATTTGCGCGTCAACCACGCAGATGGTTCGAGTGGGGGGGGGGTTCAACCCCGACAGACGAGGCACTCATTTACTTTGCTAAGCTAGTAATCAGACCAGTAAAGAGCGAAGGTTGGACATGAGGCTAGCAAACCCATACCGTGAAAATAAATACCATTGTTACCGAAACTTCAAAACTGAAGTTGATGTCTCCTTGTGTTCCACTGAGAATGTAAAGAAATTTCGAAAAAAGAAACGGTTCAGCTGTATCACTTTAACGAGCAATCAGTGTTAACAGAGATGGGATTTGAAAATATCGAGAATTGCACATTACTACTTCTGGTCACTCGGCATCAGCACAAACTTCAACTTCAGTCATACATAAAGTACGATCAAGCTGTCTGTTCTAAGCGATTTCGCCTACAACTTCATGCAGCCAAACCCCCTGAGCAATCCAAAAGGAAAAACCCGAACTTTGTGTTCAGAAGTGCTCTCTCTGTAACCTCCTCTTTTACTACTGCGGTCTGAATGCCAGGTATATATATATATAAACAAACTTGAAGACTTGCAGTCGAAAACCAACAAACTGGCTGAGGATGCTGGCGGCGAAGACAGGATTCCAAGTGAACACAGAGAAAACAGAAGTGATGAAGATAACCAACAAACTGCACGAATAACCATCAGCAGGAGAAATTTGAATGAGGCCCCATCCTTCACTTTTCTAGAAAGCGTCGGTGGCACAGTGGTTAGGACTCTCGCTGACCATGCACATGGTCCGAGGTTCGAGCCCACGCCGACGCACACCTGATATCTATGGTCGGCCTGCAAAATTTGGGCTACCGATATCGATGCTGAAAATTCCATACTTGTACTAAAAAATACAGTGTGGAATCAAGCTGTAATCAAAAATAAAATAAAAAGCACGGTTTCGACCACAGCTGGCAGAACGGATTAAAATGTGAAAGCAAGTCAGCCAGAATCGAAAAGGCAAGATACACCTGCATCAATCTGAAGTCAGTATGTTAATCTTCTGCACTCAGCCAGTATAAGGAACAAGATTTAGATTTTCAATACCAAGGTTACGCCAGTCATCGCCTCTTTACGGGTCAGAAACTTGGCCAGCGCAGCGAATCACGGAGAGCATCTCCAACAGCCAGCTTCAGACTTCTATCAACAGCTGTCTCCACTAGTTGTATACTGAAGATGAAATGGCCAGCCGA